CTCCAAGAAGAATATATAAATCGCGGGTAGGGCTGAAATTCAGGTTAGTGCAGATAGTTTCCGAACGTACCGCGAAGCTGCGATCGCGCCATGCAGGTGAGTTGCACGGGAACTGGCTCCTAGCCGACCGAAATAAAGGAGAGTTAATTGTCTCGCTCGTCTCGACGAACGTCGGCGGGTCTTCGTTTTTCTCGCGATAACGACCGACCGATCGGACAGCCGCGATTCCGGTTTCCTTTGACTCTCTCGCGCGAAATCGACGCGCTCGCCGGCGAACGTCGCCGCGCGGGGGACGCGAGAAAGCTTCGTTTTTATAAATAATTCCCCGGGGGAACAACCGTTACCGCGGCTTGACGAAATTCCGTTTCCGCGTCGGTCGCCGTTCAGGATCGTTCGTATGCGGGCCGCGGATCGTCGCGCGGCCAACGCTGAAATAGCGTATTATCAAAAGCGTCCGCGTCACTCGCGCGCTGCTTCTTCATTCGATGCAGGCTGCGATCAATTTCTAACCGAACTACCGCATTGTTTCCAGTGTCATCTCGGACCGAGCGGTTTACCGGGCTCGGCGACGCCCAACGTTCGTCGTGTCTTTCCTCTGATCCGTCTTTGTTTTTGCTAGTGCGCGTTCCACGGAATATCGAGGTACCGACGTCGATCGTTCCGTGTCCTCCAGAGTGGAACGATATGTCGATAATTATGTGTCTATCAGGATTCAAAGTATTGAGATCGGTAATTTATGTCGCCGAAAGTGTCAGCGTTCTATTCTTATAGAAAGCTGGTCCAAATTGATATTATTCTTAACACGTTGACGCAAATGCCGTGTCTATAACCGTCCATGCTCGCGAATATAGGTGCGAATGACGGTACCGGCTGTCCTGTATTTTTAGTATTATAAATAAGAGAATGTAATAACCTTATTCCGAAAGTATGAAATCTTGACCGAACTCCCAAAGAATCGACTAACTAACAGAAAGAAGGGAATCGCCTGTGCTGTTATCGCCGATTTCAAAGTGAGCGTCGACGTGTTATTTTTTTAATTAATCGTCTTAAGAGTTAGAAGCAACGTAGAATCATCATGAATTCCACGGGACTCCGTCCTTTAGTTTCTTTCTCGTTCCCGAGTACTTTATGCGGATCTTGTTAGCTTTTATCATTGCACGGCCATTAATCTCAAGGAGAAACTCGAACGGCGATTGTATTTTTAAAAAGAACAATAATCCTTCCACGGCGGAGAACGGTGACACGGCGTTCATTCGAATCGTTTTTTCTCCTCCCAATTAAAATTACCCGGACACGGATAACGCGATTGAAAAGGACTTCCAATGAGGCGTCATTAACTTTTTTAAGTGCCCCCGTCTTTTTCTGTGAACCCCGAAAGTCACCTTTGCTCGTCTTTTTGCACGGGGCATTCCATAACGCGAGTGGCTCATTTATTTCCAGCCGCATCGGCACGCTGACAAGCTGATTAAATCTCCCTACTTTAAATAAACATGTTATTACGAATCATGGAATCGTTGAATCCTTCGTTCCAAGAATTATTACGACATAATTGTATAAAGAGTAGTCGAAACGTGTTACAGTTTAAAAATAGAATCAAAATTTCCACCGAGAATCGATGTCCGATTTCAACTGTTACAACGTCGAATCTTATTGAAATTTTGCTCCGACCGCTTCCATGATAATCGTACGATTATTCTGCTTGAATTATTATGCAAATCCTAAGTTCACCTTGAACGTTCCAAGGTCTACGTCCCGTTGCTTGCCATCGTTGTGATCCTGGTCGCGTCCACGGAATCGAAACCGTCGTGGTCCAACCTGTACATCGACCAGTATTCCCCTGCGTCCAGTGCTGAGGCCCTAACCGAGCTGAACCTCCAACAGACGCCGATTTTCCAGTATCCGCAGCAGGCCTACTCTCCGTTCTACATCTACAATGTAACAAAACCGTCCGTCCGACTCGATTTCTGCGGTTCCTCATCTACATCGCCGCGTCTACGTCTGTTCCAGGTGCAGACAGAATTAAAGGACGTCCCCGCGGCCGTCATTGCTCACGGGAAACCAGCGATCTCCCATATACCCGCCTACGGCTTCTACTATGGACAAGCTGTCTACGACTTCCGGTTCCCGTTCAGTCCGGTAAGAGTCAATTTATCGATTCTAATCGTCTCTTTGGACTACATTGCACGGCGATAATTCAAAACGTTTAGATTAGATCTCAAATCTGAGGAATCTTCTTGCTCAGCGACAAACGAGTCACATAGAAGCCAATGTGGTTAAGTCCAGGAAAGGATCATTGGGAAAATTCATGTTCCGGCTTCTGAAATGATAGATATTCGGAAGCTACAAAGAAGGGCTTGCTAACGTAGAGCAAACGAAGAAACGACTGAATCCTTGAATAACTGGAAAGAATTTTATTTGTAGCATTAAAATTGAGAAAAATCGGGAGGTATCGAAAAGTGGACTCAACCACATTGGCTCCCGAGCGACTCGTGTGCATATTTAATTGGCTACCGTTCACGAGCAATCGAAACCGAAGGTTCGAAAGCGTTCATTACCCGGTTGGCCTAGGGGCGACCAGGTTTTTCTACGGCTTGAAGCGGGGAACCTTGAGAATAGTCAGTGACAGCTGCGTTTCGACAATGACATTGGTAATGAATTTTGTCGCAGGTACTCCCGACGTTGAAACCCGTCGAGCCGAGCACGACGCCGAAACCGGAGAGTAAACCGACCGACTCCAAGCCATCGACCGCGGAAAAGGAAGACGGCGTCGAGAAATTGGACAATAAAGTGGAGTCGCCGAAGAAAATGGAGAAACCGACGCCGATGGAGCACGCCGGCGACGACGACTCGGTCGTCATCGAATCGATATGATAGTTCCGCCTCGTTCTCATCGCGCGCGAGCTCGTTCCCACGGAATGAAACGCTTCTACCGTCTTCCTCCATCGCTCCGTCCAACATCGCATCATAAGAAACATTTGTAACTCGCCTGAGAGACAATAAACTCGATTTCCATTCTTCCTTCCGGCAATTTTCTGACGAAACCTCCTCAACAATGGCAATAAACAGTTTTATTGGACGAGTTCGGGTACTCACAACGTAGTGTACAAGTAAATATCGAAAACAGCTTGCATGTTTCTTGGCTAACAGATACGAAGCTTCGAACAGATGCAGTTAACGTAAGATTTAAGGATATTTATTCTATGCTTTATTCTATCGTGCCTGGAAAACTGCATGTTTGCGTATATAGATCAGTGTATTCTAGAAATTCCATCAGTCAGAGTCGACTGAAATTGCTACGAGATATTTAGAAACTTCGACATCCGAGAGGAGTTGCGTATTCGTTGCGCGTACGCGTTAATTCCAGAGCATCGCCGTTGACGGGAGATTAGCGGTTAATTCGAATTGGGGGAGATCAGCGTGCAGCTCGGATTATGCCAGTTACGTCTGAGATGTTCACGAAAAGTGTGTCACAGTACGAGATACTCCTCCGCCCCCACCGGCGACGCTGGTCGCTCGGAATCGCTCGATCTTAATGCGCTTTCTATAATTAGTTATCTTGTTGTGCGTATAGCAACAAAGAGGTCTTGTCGGCCGAGAAATGGTAGATAAGCGGCTGGGTCAAAGATGCATCTCCGCTTTCTAGCTGGTTCATTGGTGTACGCGGTGCTCGAGCGTTCGCAACGATCCGCGGTAGCATGGCGAGAAACGTCTGGCTGTTCTGCGTCCTCTTCTCGTTCGCCGTTCACCTGGCGACGGAGACGTCGGCTTTCGTGCAGTTCAACGGGGACCTGAGCAAATCGAACTCCTCCGACGAGGATCCGCTGAAAGGTTCGAACGAGAGATGCGGATCGGCGGTCGGGAAGCCGGCGGACGACGACTGCGAAGGCAAGTCTAGCTCGGAGAAGCCGAAGCTCGTCCGCGTGCCGCTGAGACCTCGACGAACTCGTTCCATCGACTCCTCTGTCAACACGATGAACCAGAACGAAGGAAACGCTCGAGAAAGCAAGCCGGCGAGAAACACGATGACCTCGACGGTGAACCCGACCGAAGCGAGCAACGTCCCGGAGACTCAGCCGAAAAGCACGAAGAAGGGGCACAAGAAGCTGAAGCTCGCGCAGAGCAAGCCCGGCCACAAGAAATCGAAGGGCAAAGGTCGTTCGAGCGACAAGGATCGCGAGGAGGCCGATTCAACGAAGAAGACCAAACGCCATATTGGTGGCTTGTACGGCAAACAGCAAACTGCGGACAATCAGATCGACGCGGATCGAGGGAAGGAATCGAACAACCTGACGTCCATGTTTCACGTAAGAAGGGGAGATGATTATTATGCCAAGAGGAAAGCTGTTATGGACATGTTTCGCAAGCAGAGGCAGCGGATGCAGAACGAGCACGATAAGGCGACGTCCACCATCGCGGTCGGTGTTAGCGAAAACTATCGGAGATCGTCAACGTTGAAAAGTGTGGTTCCTTCGCCGACGACGGAAAGAGCCAGACCGAATTCGACGAAGAAACCAATTATTAGAATGATTACGAAGAGGAAAACCCTGAATGATGATCCTTTTGCGGACCCAGGTGAAGAGTACGAATATTACGACGAGAGTGAGGAACAAATTTCCACCACTCAGTTGCCTTATTCGATTCATAGCACTTCGAATCGTGTTATCACCACTCAGTTGCCTTATACGATTGTTAATGCTCGTGATCATATTACACCGGCACCGACAACGGTAAGCGTTAATTAGACTATGGATTTTTACGAATTTTTCACTGGCTGCGCGTTGCGATACAGGAAGACCGAGAGAATTCGGGATGTCTCAGTTTCAACTTGTTGAACTCGAGAAATGAATTTCATTCGAATTTTGGATTGTGCTCGAGATACGTTGAGTTTGGAATTATTCGCGTGATAATATGAGGGGGACAATTGTGAAATGTCCCTGTGGTTTTATTATTAACCCTTTGCACTCGAGAGACGATTAACACTCATCACTGAATTTAATAACAAAATTATAATATGTTGTATAATGCGTCGATATGTGGAATATTGAAACGGAACAGAATTCTTATTAACTCATGTACATTTTCTCATTGCTTAGTTTCAAAGAACCTCGTCGATATCTCGTCGGAAACTGTTGAATATATCTAGCGATGAACTTTCGACTGCAAAGGGTGAAACTGTGAAACGAATTATCGGAAATATCCGTGATCGAATTGATTCTGCATTGTATTCCTTTGGTTTTCTGGATGACCAAGATTTTACACTGTTTCACTTTATACTTACACGGTGACCAAGGTTTCATACACGTTTGTTTTCCAAACAATCAAAGTTTTCTATTACATTCTGTTGTTTCTCAGATGACCAAGAATTTATACTATATTTCTTGTTTTTCGGATGACTAAAACATTACACTATTGCACTCTTTATTCGTACGCTTACCAAGGTTTCACATGTTTTCCAGAAGACCAAGAATTTATTCTGTCGCGTTCTCTGTTCTCCACAGAACTAACGTTTCCTTACTGATCTCTTGTTTGGTTCGCTAGATGGTCAAGAAGGACCGCGTTTACGAATGGGGTTCGTGCGCGGACAACAGCCGCCGCATGTTCTTCCAGAACAACCTGTCCGTCGACGTGAACAAATGGACGGAGGCGGAGACCGACGTAATGGCGTCCATAGGGGAGGACTATTGCGTCGAGTGCGTCCGGATCGAGCTGACCACCGACAGCAAGTCCGAAGTGTCGGTGGTTTTCATGCAAGGTGGCCATGCGAAGCTGAAAATAACAGGACGGGCGAACGAACGGTTGTCATTCGTCGCGCGGTACTTCGCTACCAGGAAAAAGAACGGCCGTTGCTAGTCCACTCGATCGTGTCCACTGAAATGCAACGGATCTTCGTACTTACAATAATAATTCACGTTGCGACCGTCCGCGCCGCTACGACATGTATAAACATGAAATAAAAGTGTACGAATTCAAACAAAATCATTTAACGCTGAAACCACCGAGCAGTAAGACAGATCTGTATATAATTCGTTATCAGAATCTGGAGCTTCCTCTTGCTGCACGAATGCAGGGATTTATTTTGAAATTTCGGAAGTATCTTTATCATATTGAGAATCTCGAAATCGATCGCTCTCACTCATCCGGTGGTTCTAGCGTTAAGACATTCCCATTGCCTTCGTCTTATCGAACAAAACAAGTCTCCTCCGAAGCGGCGTGTATCAAAAAGAATTTCCTTTTATTTATACCTCGACAAGATCCTCGACATAGACAAACTCACTATTCTCATAGATCTAAACGATCGCGAACTTCATTTTCCCCGTGGTCGAAAGGTCCTCGCACGAAATCAAGATTGAAATCAGTCGAATCTTAAGAATGACACGATACAAGAATTCCCCAGGCGACTCCCTCATCAGGGTTTCTTCGGCACAGATGTCGGCAGGGGTGGCGGCGGCACGTCCGGCACTTTCACCCTCTCCGCCTTCGCCGGGTGCTTTTTCTCCTCGTGATAGCCCGGCAGCAGGTGTCCGGGGTCGCCGTGTTTCGGCGTCGAGGGCGGAATCGGGTCGAGGGTGCCGTAAGGTTGATAATCCACGTAATAAGTGCCCGGGACTAATTGCGGGTTGATCCCGTTGTAAGTGTAGAAATAGGGGTCGTAGTAGAGCGACTGGTAATTAGGGTAGAAGCTCAGAGGCTGCTCTTCGTGTCTGTTCCTCGAAGAAGGCCTCGCTTCTTTCTTTTCTCCGGGCGGTTGCGGCGGTTGCTCTGCTTTAGCGTCGGAAGCCTTCGAAGCTTCTATCGCTGCCGACGGTTCCGCTTGGACGTCAGCTTCGCTGCTCGCCTTCGCGCCTTGGGGTAGCTGCAGCAACTCGGGACCGGACACCTGAGGCGCCACTTGCGTGTAATAAATCGGCGGCACGTAGCCGACCGCCGTTCTATGGATCACCGGCTGTATCACCGGGAACGCTCTCGACGGAGAGAGATTCTGGTTGCTGGTGATCACCGCGTTGTACACCTTCGGCACCCTGAGCAGCCCTGGATCAGCTGCTGCCACGGCGATCGCCGCGAGGAGTATCGACAGCTTCATCTGGAAAATGTTTGAATCGTATAAGAACGGGGAACTGGTAGCTGAAACTTCGAATTAACATTCTTTTTCGTTGATTTAGACGTTCAGCTTCAATGTCAGTAAAATGATTGAAGAACTTAAGAAACGATGGTTTTATAAGCAGGAAACCGAGAAGTGGGGAATATCCGGGTGTTTCTCGCTTTTCAGTGGTTTGCCTATGAAACGGAGGTTCTTCAGAGTATCGAGTGAACTGTATCGAACATGATTGACAGGTTCATTGCCACGGGAACCTTGAGAGCTTGTATCGCTCATTCTTTCGTAGCGAACGCGAGTAGGAACGATATCAACTATTTGACGCCGCGATCCTACTTCACAATATCATCCAATTACTCAGGCTATTAAACCCTTTAATTCGACATCAGTTTTTCGAAAGGTTTGTGACATTTCTTTCAATGCCATTCGACATCGATCATATCGCGATTGCCTCCGAGCAATTCGGAAACGTCGGTCACCGGTGTTCGTGCAGCAATGAACGCTAATGTGACTATTCTGTTACACCAAGCGGGAGCTGAGAGTGTAAGAGCTTCTTTACACAATCCCCGCGTATTAAGGAACAATGAAATTCCAATAGGTGGCACGTCGAGCGATTCCCCGGACGTAATTGAATTTTTCCGGGAATTTCCCGGTGCGCGCGAAATCGCGTGTGACAAATTGCTCCCATTCGAGCGGCCAGGAAATTGTTCAAGGTGCGCGGTTGACGCAATAATCACGGTGGCAGAGGTGAAAAGAGCGAGACGGTGCGTCAGATTCGCAATTATGACAGCGCCGAAGCGGATACGGGCCGGCGTCACGTGAACTGTCGTGCCACTCGAGAAATTACGGCGCGGGGTCCTTTATCCGTGCGTGCCGCGGATAAATCCGGCTCGGCCGCGCACGCATCGCTGCGAACGCCGCGAGCTGCTCCTAAATTGACACGCGAAACGGATTCAAAGGTGTACGTACTCCCCACTGTGGACGGTTCGCCCTTTTGCGTGTCGATACTTGGGGCCTGAGAGATAGTCCAGGCCCATCGACAAATTTATGAGCAACGGGACCACCATGACCTGGGTCGCGTACGCCCTCGTCTGAAGAGTTTTCCTTTAGCAAAGCAGTTGAGGAAAACCAGTTGGTCGCCGTTCCTCGTTAGAGTCGCATCGCGTAATAAATATATTTAACCCGACTACGGACTTAGTTTTTATTTTAGTAGCCCTACACCACAGACATCTTCTCGCTTCTCCTGAAGGGGCAAGCGCAAGGTGACAGGGAGCACAGCGTGACGAAGTCGGAGGATGAGTATAACGAGTATAACGATATCCCTCGCCGCTCTTGCCCCTTTAGTTTATAGGAGAAGTGAAAAGATATCGTCTGACAGTAGACGCGACAAGACAATGACGCACGCGCTCCACAATGCGACTATCAATCTCTTCCTACACCTGTAATATACTTATTATCATAGAAAATCTGTCCTTGGCTGGCGCATGCTTGGAAGCCGGAAAAAGTTCCTTCGAAAACAGTTTACTCGGTTGGATATCCGCGACGCCTGTTCACGTTTATCATTGTCGTTTCACGGTAGACTCATAGTCAGATTGAAAAATACATTTACCAACATTCCTGTCGATGAATGCTTCAGCTTGCTTGCCACTGAAGCAGATATTCGACAATCTCTCGAGAAATCGTCTATATATCTCGTTTGAATATTTCCCAAGACTTCCGAGACCATGTGTAGCCATTTGATAATTCCAGTGTTAGAGGCGAGTTGAACTTCGCAGTAGAATCGCGTGAAGCTGCAGGTAAGGGAATCGAAAAGTTGAAGGAAAGCTCGACGACGTGGTATACAATATTCCACGAACGCGAGTGTCGCAAGCGTCGCTAACGAAGAAAGCCCAGCTACGCCGGAGGGACAGTGTGCCAACGAAAACAGAGGACCGACATTTCCTCCGAGGTTCGCGGTACTGCACGCTCTATCCGCGTGTCAACCAGGTGGTCAGCGTCGTGATTTCTGGAAAGGCAGCCGCCACCGTGTACAAGGATCGGGGGCGCGCATACAAAGGAGCCAAGGCAGGATCGTGCACGGAATAATCTCCTCCGTTTCCTTGGTAGGCGTGCGTATATCCGCGGCCGAGCTGTCGCGCCTATGGAAATTCTTCTGTCTCGCGAAGGTTCAACCGGTTCGGATAACAATTGGTTCACAACGAGGCCGGTGAAATGTGGAACGGACCCCGACAAACAGTCGTCCGCGCTGAAAATAGCGGCGCTGTCCGCTCGGGGACAATGATGAACGGACGGAGCAGTCGGGAGGACGAAGGTATTGCGAACGCTGAATTATCGAAAGTGCCCGTGACGTCGATTGTTAACCCTTCGCAGTCGAACGTCTGTTACAGTAACTTCGAGCTTCGATATCTTCAAGGAATTCGAAATGTCGGTGGAAAGAATTTTTACGAGTTTCGACGGGTTCTCGGAAAGGGTTAAGTTCGATCCTTCGATGATTGGACCTATGAATGATTCGACCAGAAACTAAACGCGATGAAATCAGAGCTTATGCATAGCAAACTATCATCGCGAGTGACGCAGACAAAGTTATCTTAAAGATTCATATTCGAGTTACTAAGAAAATGAGAGAGAAGGTTCAATCTCGAGTGATAGTTTTCTAAATGGTTGCAGTCTAGAATACGGATGCAACGGTGAGTGTGAAACGCAGCGTCAACAGCGCTCGCATCCTGTCGCCATGATTCATCTCATTAACATACGGGATCGCGCAATTTCTTCCGTCTCCGAACGCTTGCTTTTAACCCCTTGCTCCTCCTCGGAGAAAAACGCGGCATCGCAGCGTTATCGCGGCACGCGCACTCGGATTTCGATTGAAATTGGACCGATGACGCTTACCTTTTATTCGATCCGGCCTCCCTCTCCCGATGTACCTTCCCAGTAGAGCAAGGACCGTCGAGAAGCTGACACCAAGTAGCAAGAGAGCTGCATGGGACCGTAGTATATATGGCCCATGGGGTCCCAGGGTTCAAGTCCTGCCTCCCCCACTACGAACGCCACTTGGCGAAAGTACTCGCCGATCGGTACTGTAATGTTCAACTCCCGGCCCGGCTGTACCACCGGTGAACTGCAGAAGGACAGCTGTATTTACCGTGCGCAGGATCGCGCGAGATGCACCGGGAACAACTGGCTGACAGCGGCGAGGACGCGGAATCGCGGTGTCGAAATCGCGATCTTGGAATACGCGAACGTTCCGATCGGCTCGCGATGCAGCCGACGCTCGTTTCAGTGGAATTAAACCTGTAAGTATTCATAGTTTCTACAGAATTCGATTTATTGTTTTCGAGAGGTTTCCGTCGTTGTTTTTTAACAGTTAACGGTTAACGGTGATTATACGAGTGCGTGAATGTATGGGAAGTTGAGAAATTTATTGGGTACGATAACGATGAGATTTCGAGTTTTCCTGGAATCGACAATCCGTTTGGAGAACCGTTAATTCGTACCACGTGGCGATTAGGCAGAAAATGGTTGACTGAAAAAGTCTACGTGATTGAATCTATCGGTTACAAATTGTTCCATGACTTTTAGAATTCTGTGGATGTAGATATAATCCTAGAGAACTAGACCTTCGTGAGATTGAAACGATGGGGATAGACAGCAGGCCCAAAGTGCTAATGCTTCATGGTCCCGATTTACCATTGACAATGGTTTCATGGATATACGTAATAATCCTTCGAAATATAAAACTACCAGACGTATAGAATTAACTGCGACGCTCCTGAACTTTTAATTGTCCAATGTTTCGATTTACTGAGTACTCCTGTCTCTTGTGTAAGTAACTTGTAACTTGTAAATCGCAGCTTCATTAAGAATGAAGTTATTTTTCCAGCGAACGACCTGGATCCTCTTAAAATATGATAACCCTACGTGGACACTCGGTAAAAATACTGTATCTTTCCTCTCTGCTTATGGGATGTTCTTCTGGCGACAAAAAGGCACTCTGGAAGAAAGGAACAACGTATTCCTCGATCGCCGGACCAGCCATAAATCTTGCATAAATTAAAACACCCGAGTCGAACGATACAGCCTCGACTTTTCGACCATTAGGCGGCTCAACCAAAGATAACGAACAGGTATCGATCGATGTCACCAGGAACACGACCGCCGTGTCACGAGAGCTCGGTTCAACAACGAATTGACACATGCTAATCATGTATTCCAGCCGAAAGCGCCATTTACCGGAACTATAATGACAAAGAAGGGAAAAAAACCGCCCGTCGAACGGACCACTTACGCGCGAAGAAAAATCGGATAATCAGCAGCAAGATCAATGGTGAACGTTCAATGACGCAGCCAAGCTTTACGGCGTGCGATGAAAAATGGATACAGTTGAATAATGCGGGCCGGGTTCGCGCTTAATGGAAAGGCACCCAACGTTCGCGTGCAAATTTCCGTTGAAATTGTGCTGCGAACGGGCGAACACGAATGGAAACGAATGAACGCGATCCATCTTTCGAAAAGGGGTAAAAGAAATGTTATTCCATTTGAATCTGTGTACAGGGTGCCGTAGAAACCGAAGAGGAACACTTAAATACGTCCTTATAGATACGAGAAGTACTTAAAGCGCAACTTAAACATGTAGCTTCGAAGAAAGAATGAATTCTTTTAACGTTCCAGTGATCTGTTATCAACGTATGGAGTTTAATTCGCGCGAAATACCATTGTTCACGAAAACAGAACTACAAATAAGAGAAATAACGCCGTGGAAAGTAGTATAAAACAATTAATATATATAAAAAATGTATGTAAAGTTAGTTTGTTACAGTTCTATGAGAAAGTACGCATCGTCTTCATAAGAAATCGATGGAAAAACCATTCGGATTAAACTCGCATTCCGATGGTACGTGCACACGCGTATATACGTGACTGCGAATAGATCGTTGATTACAATATCAACGAGCATGAGCCAATTCGTGCTTATAATCCCCGTTCACGTCTTTTCTTGGGCGGCTGTTTTATTGTGATAAGATGTTTACGTACAAAACGAGAAACGAGTCCGCGGAGAAGCTCCTCTGGCGCAACGCGCGCGCGCCGTGGCCCGACAAGATGGCGGCTCGGCCCGCGGTAACTTTCCCGGCATTTCGGCTGAACCGCGGTTTTACGAAACCCTCGTCCCGTTATAATTCCGTTTATTCAGCGTTTCGCGCGTGCGACGAGCGTGGCGGAATCTTGGCAACGATCGCGATGGAATTTCACGCGAACGCAGCTTATCAAAGTGTCTCGCAACGCGCGAGCATCGAGAGCCGCTTGGAATTCCGAAGGAAAGCGTCCGGATAATTCTTGATTACACAAATCGGTAGCTGTGAAACGATATTCTTAAGAAATCCGAGGTACACCGTGAATGTACAACAAAAAAGTTACCATATAAGTATTACGAACATTCCCGCTAATTATGCGCCTAATTTAAATACTAGATGGAACGGAGTGAATGGCTACTGGAATGCTAAGGTTGGGTGCTGTTATTACGCTCTAAGCTTTACAGATATTTTTGATTCCGCTTTCTTTACATGAAGACTTTACAAGCTCCTGGTCTAGATGTCTATGCTGTTCCTATTGTAAACTCTAGCTTCGAGACACTACTGACTCAGAGACTCATTTACGACCAGCAACAAGTATTCAGACATTCACGTTCACTCTCTTTGGAGCCGCTTAATTGCTACAGCCAAGAATAAACTAACGCTTTCATACGCAGATTTCTGCAACTCTGAGTAATCGACATTACGACAGCTCGAAGATAACAGTTTCCAGATCGAAGCCGCACAATGAGTACTTCTTGTCTTCAGATCGCAATTACTTAAATACCTAATCGTGCCAACGAAACCGGATGATCGTCGCGGTGTATCTCAGAGATTTCGAATCTTCATCATTCTTCATACACTTGGTATTTCAAAAGTCAAGTGTCTTCTCTTGTACGGTCCAATTTCGTACAAAATGCGACCGAACATTTTGACTTCTAACAACGTAATTAATGTATTTGCAATTCTCGTTTTAGTACTTTCAAACTTGTACAGACTGTGTCGTTTAAAATACTGTAGTTGTGTGAAGAAAGATGACTATCAAGATCACAGATCGGTGAGACGTTCGTCATATGGACTCGATGGGAATGTAGCACATCCTTCTGAACAGCAGGAGCGGAAAGTTCGGCAGGAAGATGATAAACAACAGGAACAACGGCGACAGCAGCAGCAGGATACTGGCGTACATCACGAACCACCACACCGACGATATTCCCAGCACTGGGTCCAACATCATGAATGCTGGTCGGTCGAAAGGTCACGAGCGAACAAATCTCGGTTCATCTATATTCCAATGGCGTGTCCCGATTCTTCGAAGTCGGTCTTCAACCTGGATCATCATCCATCCGTTCCTGTCGTCCGACGATCAATCAGTGCCCGCAAACCTGCAAAAACGTGATTCGTTAATTACACGTTCGTTTGCGTTACCTTTGCTATTTTAAACGATTTAACCGTTATTCGCAAAACGCGCGTAAACGGGAGACAGTTGTCTCGATCACAGAATACTTTTGAAGAATAGTCTACGTACAAGTCTCTTCGCGACGATAGAAATGTTCGTAGAATATTCTCAACGAAACAAATGCAAACATGTTCATTGAATCGCAGCAGTAAAGGAGCTACGAGCTTTACATAATGCATTAGACGCATCGTGAGTAGGTATAAAATTCCGTCTAGAACAAATGTCACGGACATTTTTCCATTTCCGAATGGAGAACAACTGCGATCGTGGTTAGAACAATGACTCTGCTGTGTGCAGGTCAACATTGCCCTCCGAAGACAATGGACGCGGAACAATAGATTACAGTAATGCCAGGTCGAACCTTGGAACTTATCTGCATATTATTATCCACGCAATAGTTATATACTCACAAGGTATATTAGACATTAACCGATAAAAAGACAAGCTCTATCTGAAGGTACTTCAATAAAATCATCCATTCACAGCGCTCGAATCATAATATTATTGCAAACAACGCATCAACAAACGAGTTTTCCTTGAACAATGGCAATCCCGGTAATCTCGTTGTCAAATGGAAAGCCGACGAACAGGATTTGCGCAATCGGTAACGCCGCTAGGCGAAATAACAACCGAGAAACCACCTTTTCACGATTATGCCACCGAAATTGAGGGACTCGAGACTTCAACCGTCAACCTTCTAATTTTCTCCCGCGGCGTAACAACGTTTCGTGCTCGCCGCCGGTTTCAAGGATACTTCTTTGCCCGTTGCATCACAAACGGCGACTTCGGCTGAGAAAGGTGAACCAGTCTTCCGTACAGCACGCGGTATAATCGTCGTGATATTGCGCAGCGAGCCGCGTCCCGTTGTTTTCCAGGTAGCCGTCGGTTTTCGAGCGACGAGAATCAGAATAATGGAACACGCAACGCTCGGTACGTAAGGGCAATACACGCGGCACCGTCGAGACACTTACCGGTAACTCGGTTGCGCAATTCGATTCGTCTTGTAACGATTGCGCAATCGGGAATCGCGCCGTGTTCTCTCTATAAATTTCAAACGGAGTGTCTGTTACGAGCCGCCGCCAATTTCGCGGACTTCCGTCCTTGATCGTCTCTAGAAATCAAGCCGAGAGAAGTCGAGAAAGTTACGCGCTCCAAAAATTTCGAGTACTTCGCTCTTAATTTATACGCTGTTTCACTTTCCCCCGCGAAAAAGGAAGAATTGTCGGATGTACCGTTGCCTCTGCGCGTTCTTTTTTTTCTATTAATAGCGAACATTTGAACGGTTCCGGGGATCGCAGCGAATTTTCCGAGAAGTTTGACGGACAACCGTTCGGCCAACACCCTCTAAAAATAGGGAAGAGTTTATTAGAAGCTATAATTACATCCACGTCGTACAAATACCGAGCGTGATAGGTGAACGAACACTTCTGGCGGCCGACTATACGCTGGCGCGGCAGAGCTCTTGGTATATAAAGTGTCGGAGCTATTTATAGGGTCGCTAATAAACGTAAAATATTATGAGACGCTAGCCGAGTACTTACAGGTTCCGAGTGGAGGATGGTAATACCAATATCTGAGTCGCTCAGAAGCTATTCCGTTAAGTTGATTTTTCGATACTTCCTGATTTTTGCAGATTTCAATCGAATAAACGATATTCTTTTCAGTTATTCAAGCATTCACTCGTCTCTTCGTTCGTTCCAGGTCGTAAAGTCCTTCGTTTATACCTTCTAAATATGTTGCGTAATCATTTGAGAAGCCGAAACATTAATTTTCTCGATTTTTCCTGGATTAGCTTCCGAGCGACTCGTTGCTTCGTTTAAAAAAGTACGAGTGTTCGAAAACAGTCGAACTCGAAATACTATAGAGAATCGGAAGATATTCCCGAATGATCGGAGGAAACATTTTCCGGCCTACGGAGTCTAGAGAGAACTCTGTTTATGAGAGCAACACGAAGATTCCTAAATTTAGAGTCCAACGTTCAAGGAAACCGTCTAAAAGCATGCGTCGTCGTCCTTGTGCAGATCAGACCGACTGTGTTAAGACAGGGAGACCGGTCGAACGAGCTGCAGGAGCCACGCGAGAAAAAACACCTAGCGGAAAGAGATAGGCGGGCCGAACGCGATAGCGACGGTCACTCGTTGAAAATTAAGCCAGGTGTTCGTTTGAAGGTGCACACGCACCGACAAGACACTCCTGACAGCGACTAATCACGACGTATGTAAATGCGTTTAAGATTGCGGGCAACAAGCTCGATTCACTTACGGTAGTACTTAAGGAACTGACCGATTTTTCTGCACTTATGAGAAACTTATAAAATGTCTAAAGCGTAGCACCTTTTGCAATTCTTGTTGGGAGAAACCATTTCTTATCGTAATACTGCTCCAATTAATGTAGACTAAGGGGAATCGGATCAGTTCGGATTCAACAACGAGAAATAAACGGTTGAAACTTAGAGTCAATATAGTTTTTCATAGATCTCTCATTGATAGACGTTCAGCTTCGATATCGTTAGAGAGAATTATTAAAAGACCTCAAACCTGCGTGTTGCAAGCGAAAAACTGAGAAGTGAGAAATATCCGATTCATCCAAAATCCCGGAGTGAATTGGATGTTTCTCACTCTTCAGTTTTTATGTATCGAGTAATTGTAACTTCTTATAATTGCAAGTCTTCATTCTAACTACGAGTGTTCGCAGTAATTGCGACTCTTCGTAACGATTGCGACTGTTCAAAGTAATTGCAACTCTTTTGCAACCGGCTGTCAGGAAAAATGTCACACATTACTTGCTACTGTATCTGCACCTTAACGAACACGCCCGCTCGCCTACGACACGGCGCAGCACGCGTGCATCGCGTTCAGCTGCACGCTGACCACGATCACGCCGCGGAAAGTGAAATTTCCACGATTGCGTAACCGTGGCATAATACTATTATCCAGCGTTGATGTTATACCTATACGATTACGGGGTGTACGGCCTTTAATGAAACTCCGCGAGAGGAAACACACGCGAGTACTACCGATCGTGTTACCATTTCTCTAGCTTTTTTCATCCTCTGCGTATCCTGTACCGAAAGCTTCATGTAAATCTATTACTACCAGCATCAGGCAACACCGCTGGAATTAAGAAGTAAATCGAAAACGAGTATTTCAATTTCAAACGTGAAACAATGCGATTCGTTCCGCAACTTTGTCCTATGTCCGAGCGACCACCGGAGTTGTGCAAAAACAGATGTTTCAGTTGGTTGGAATCTACTCGTTATTTAAACTGTAAATTTCACTTAAACGTACTGTCTTTTGTATTAGACAAAATGCGAGGCAGCACCATATCGCTAATTATTAAATAATTCCGTTGAGAACTTATCGTTTCGAATTCTAATGCGTGCAACGCGAAGTTTACGAGTACTTAAACGTGATTAATCGATTATATTTCCATATAAATTCACCGAAGAAATTCCCTGTGCAATTACGTCGAGTCTAAAGATCTTTGATATTAAAATCTACATTACATAACCCTCGCCGTTTACGCGCGTAGTAGTATTTTTACTGTATGAACTAACTGCCGACGCACGATCGCCGCGAGAAATACTTCAAGTATCCGTTTAGCACTGAATCAAGACGTCATTACAATCCACTCTCACTTATTACGTCGACGGTGGATTGTCTATAGCTCGGTCGGTTCATCTGAGCGTACTAGTAATACAGCTCTCCGCTGTATCGTAATATAAACTCGGTAGAATCGGGACGCAGACCCGTTCTCTTCGTTTATGTCGCGCGTCACCTTACGTGGGTGTAACAAAATGGCGGCCGGCCACTGGCCGCGCGGGATTGATAATTCTGCTGAACGATTAAGACCGCGCGGTATCAATTCGACCAGCGTTTCTAGGTCAAAGTGAAAGATTGCCCGCAACTCGGCGAACGAGCGAGATTTTCGATCCATTCTCCGATACCGCGTCGTCCTTGGCCCGGAAAAAATTCACGGGGTGGGCGCGCGCGCGCGCGCGATGAAAGCAAAATGAAGTTTACTTCGGCTTGTTGCGCCTGCCATTCGCTTTGAAACGAGAAACTCTGGATCATCGAGTGCCTTTATCGATTCGGAAGATCGTTAGAATTGTTAGACAGCAGATTATTTAATTATAATTCGATAAAAAGTATTTTGTTGAAAGAAATGAGCTTTCCTTGCGAAAATTACTTTGCCGTTGGACATCGAAAGGGATATTACAAGAAGAGCCCAATCATACGGTTGCCCACCGATTGAAAATAAGGATACAACGATGTATACCATTGTTTCTACCACTAATTTCATGGAACGCATCAGTTCGACGCATATTGAGTGTTGCAACCATTGCTCAGTAATAATTCACATCGATTTCGATCACTGTAATAGAACCATAGAAAGTAATTGTCTATCCTTGAACTAATATCAGAGATCTAAACGAGAGAACATCAAATTGAATCGAATGAACCTGGAATTAAACGAGTCGCTAGATTCTTCTCAATTTCAATGGAATAACACTCTTTTCATTTACTAAACGAAAACATTAACTTTTCTTCGTTCGTTCTAAGCCACAAAGCCCTTCTTCGCAGCTTCTCAATATGTTGTGCAATCGTTTCACAGTCGAAAACATTCGTCCCCTCAATTTCCCTGTTCTGTAATTATCCACGTTAACTTCTACTCAAATGTACAATTCAAAACAGATTGGTAGAAACCTCGTCGATCGTTTCCGAGACGTGCAACAGAAGATTCTATCGTATTCCATACGCAGCAGACAGTACTCTGCGAAAAGTCCCTGCGACAGTCACATTGACAGCGTCGATACACTTTCCAGGTGTCGAGAAACAGGCTAGCCAACGCGAACGCCGGAGTTCGATGCGAAACGCGGTTGTCCCATCGGCCATGCCTACCTTTCCGTGATCCGGCGCGGTCCACATCACAGAAGAAACGTGAACGGCTCGGCGCACCGGCACACCGGGGCTCGATCGAGCGAGATTCAGAGCCGGGCCGCACTGCGAACGCGAACGGGCCGGATTCTGTGCGCGATTTCCACGAATGCGCGGTAGATCGGCGCGTGGTGGTCGTTTCTGGTGTGCGTCCAGTCGCTTTCCGCGGACTGAACGCGCGCGGCGAGCTCCCATGCTTCTTCGATGCCCCGGGTATCTACTTTCCCTTTCTTTCGGCGCTTCGGAGCCGCGTTACGTCGGTTGAGTCACCCGGTAAACGTCGCGCGGCGATCCCTGCGGCCCCTACGTCGCACAGTTAGGACAACACCCCTGAAATTCGACTATTAGCGTAACGAAAATTCAAGGTTGCCCATCAGTCGCTAAGTGGTTCATGTACGCAATGATTTTTAGTGGAAAATCCGAATTTTCTATTCCGTTTCTCTGTTTATATAACGTTTTAATCGAAAATTCAAGGCTACCGATCGGTCGGTGAGTGGTTCATGTACGCGATGAATTTTAATGAAAAATCCGAATTTTCTATTCCGTTTCTCTGTTTGTATAACGTTTTAATCGAAATGTCCATTGTCATTGGAAACATTCCGTATCTCCGTAATGCAGACAAAGGTATAACCACCATATGGGTAGCTCTATAGCTTAGAATTTTTGTCTGAGGCATTTCGCTGTATCATTCGTGTCTCTTCAGTCATTAAACTGAGGTGCGTAGACGTTCGAGCCTCGCCTACTTTGACAACGAAGTGTAGCGCAGGTCAGGTCATAGATTGACTGCGTCGAGTTTAATGGCCCCCATACACGGCACGTGATGGCTTTGAGTCTTCCAATGTTTCATGATAGATGTTTCTCTGTGTATGCACTTAACCCCTTGCACTCCGAGGTTTTGTTGCATTTTGTCCTCGATATCTCTGTATTAGGATATTTTGTTTGAAATGCAATTTGAAAGATAGTTTGTAGAGAGCAGTGTAGATTCTTCTTGCTAATAATACTGAAAACAACGTAATAATGTAATCTATTCGGAAAATATATTGACAAAGAAGCACAGCTGTGTAAGAAACCCGTGTCGAGTCACGGTCGACATAGGAGCGCCAAGGATGAGGTCACCATAGGCAAAGAAGGGGTGTTTTGTTTATGGGAGGTCTGCTTTGTGTTGATTTCCTTCGACTCGAAGAGTCTCGATTTTGTCGCCGAAGTGAACGATCGTCCTGAAAATTGGCTGCTATGGTGTTCTATTTTATTCTACCACGAGTGCTTCGTTCTAAATGTGTACCTAATTGGTATAAATTGGATCGTTTTGCGTTGTATTGATCACCGAGTCGTTTATCGGCACCTATAATTTAATAATGTGTGATTGAATTATTTGACTAAGGATTTTATATTCGATCGATCCCTTTTTTCGGTTGGTGATAGTGTTGTTTCTTCGACGAGCGATTCAGTGTTAAACGGTTCGTCATTGAAGCCCATGAACGGAGAGTGTTGCATCACCGGGTGAAGAATGCGACCGGTTTTCTTGTGCCGCGAAGATTCGATACGGGTGTCTTCTTTTTCTTGTGAAACAGTGCTTTATTTTGCAGCCTTCGGTGATTTCAATTGATCAGCGGTTGCGCAGGTGTTTGGAGTCTAGGTAAGTGTACGTGTAGCGTAGTAAATGTAGATAAACGCGGATAAAGGTAGATAAATATTGATAACTGTTGACAAATATTGATAGATATTGATAAATATATATATAGATGTAGATAAGTATTGATAAATATTGATAATTATTGATAAATATAGATAGATACAGACAAATACAGATGTAGTTATAAAATAACTAAACATTCTTTCAATTCTAATTTCTATAAACTGATTAACTACATTAAAGATTATTCTAATTCCTATATTTAATACATCTCCACACGCATCCCCATTAATGGTTACGAGTCTCCATTAAATAACTCTCAGTTTCCATGAGATCTTGAAAGATTTTAGTATAAAACATTGAATGCAAGCGAGCATTCGGTCCGTGAAGGTCGGCGAAAGCCTGTATTCGAGTAGTCCGAAGGAAAAGGGGAGGGACGCATAAAAAGGAACCACTTGAGAAGTTGACCTGCTGGCTGCAGTCAGCTGGATTAATGCGGACAGAAAGGAAAAGGGCTCCGGGCTCCTCCAAGCAGGCCCGAAACCTTTTAGGGTCCCACGGTCCCTTTTTACCACGGCCGGACGCGTTATTCGAGGATTATAATACAACGTTCTCAAGAAAGTTCGTTTCCTTCCAAAGAAACGAGCAGCGATACATCCGAGCGATCGAACAATGCGAATCGTTTACAGGCACTTTACATTGAGAATGGCAACTCCGCGCAAACGTGACCTTTGTCTGGCCTTCCCCGAACAAGGTTCAACGGACCAGTACAAAAGCAGCGTTTAAGCGGTAATTTGATTTTTTCGTGTTGCTTCGCGCGAGTGCGATCTTTCAGACAACTAGCGCCACTGTTGACAAACGTTCGAAGCTCTTCACCGGCTACCGTGTTTACCATCCAAGCAAATTCTGTTGTACCGATATCTGGTTAGCAATCGACTTTTCGCTGGGTAACGATAATAAACAATTGCATTGTTCAAATATTACTTTATCTCGACATCCGTAGTGATACGTATTTTTCAATTGTTTGAGTTCCTAATGGTCGAGGAATGTAAACTAGCTTTATCGTAGTTCCTAGAATGGTAACTTGATCGTATTTTGCAGTGATATAGCGACGTTTCAAAAGATACAAAAAATCAAATTAAAGTGGTTTCAGCACTGGCAATCAGAAAACTTGAACTTCTAGTTAATTTCTAGTTTTCTAAAAATAAAATGCATTTAGTGCTCCAAAATGTAGAAGTCAATTATGAACTGTTATTTGAATCTATAGTAGTTCAACGTTGGTAAATCAATTGAATGGGATGTTCCTTCGTTATGAAATTGTTGGCCCTGAAAAGGGCCGTTATAATTAGATAGATCCATTTAGCGAGCAGAGATATTTACGCCTTCTTTTCGGTCTTCTTGGGCAGAAGTACCGCCTGGATGTTCGGCAGGACACCACCCTGAGCGATAGTCACTCCAGAGAGCAGTTTGTTCAATTCCTCGTCGTTCCTGATGGCCAGTTGCAAGTGTCTGGGAATAATTCTGGTCTTCTTGTTGTCGCGAGCAGCGTTGCCCGCCAATTCCAACACTTCAGCTGCCAAGTACTCCATTACAGCTGCCAAGTAGACAGGAGCGCCGGCACCCACGCGTTCTGCGTAGTTGCCTTTCCGGAGCAGCCTGTGGATACGTCCGACCGGAAACTGAAGACCAGCTCTGTTCGAACGAGACTTCGCCTTTCCCTTGATTTTGCCACCTTTGCCGCGTCCAGACATATCGATCAACGAGAAAATTCAACGAAAATAAGAAAAACTCGGTACGACCTCGACGGAGACTCGGAGACGAATGATGTCCGAGCCCTGAAGCTTCGCTCTTTATGCGCTTCTCAGGTAGCGCGCGCTCCACCAATCAGCGTGCGAGTACCGCTCGGCGGGCAGCGATTGGTGCAGGCTAGACGCGCGGTCAACGGGCGGACATCTGCTCCATCGAGAGTCCGCCATTTTTTTTATAGAGAAAAACATAAAGTTCTTCAAAGATATAGAAAACTTTGAAGCGATAATGTGCCGTTGTATTTTTTAATGGTCGCTGAAAAATGTTACGCTCCCGGTGACATTGTTGGGCAAAAACTGGTTCGGTGTGGCATTGACCCGAGGGAAATCCAAACAAATTCGGAGAGAATATAATGAATGTACGTACAATTTGTCGAGATTGTTTCCTCGCGATTATGAATGTAAACAGTGAAGTCATTCAATACGAGAAATGACCTCGGAGCCATTCGTTTTGTAGATTTAGAACGTAACGCGAAGCGTCCAGGAGAAATTGGCGGGAAAGACGTCCAAGCATCGACAACGTGGCACGTTTCACGTGGTTCGCAGCTGCTTCGTTGCTTGAAATGGCTATGAGAACAACAGACTTTCTCTTGGTGAACTTATTTTTTGCTTTAGATTAACTCCTATTGTTTATGGATATTTCTGGAAGGTCTCTTGAATGTTTATGGAACTTTCTGTAACTTCCAATTATTTAAGTTTTTATTCTGATTACCCCAGTATTCATTAATTTACATATATTATTAGGTAACTTGTGTCTAATTGTAAATATTTTTCATGTAAAATAAGTGTATACACATATGCAGTAATAACATTGCATTATGGATTTAAAGACGATATTGATTAATAAGGTAGAGAAACAAGGCTCATAGTTGATCATTATTATACCTAACCTTAAAAATCATACGGACGTATAGAGAATATGCAACGTTGCGTAAAATGATAGATGCATAAAAAAGTGCAGAAAATGAAATAAAGTAGAAAGGAGAATAGGTTATGTCTTCTAACGTTGATCGCTTAGTCATATCGTTGCGTTGGTTTCACGATAATTTCGATACCGTAACTGGTATACTTCCGATACTCCTACTTCGAGTACGTTTATAGCATTGAGTACAAAGAAAAATGCATTACATTTTTACTGCGCAATTCCCAAGATATTAACCTCATAAATCTTATTCTTAATCGCAAATTAATCTTTCGAGTTCGCATTAAAGATAAGATCTTTGATTCCAATATGCTATGCAACAGGAGCAGTACTTATTTATAACGGTTTATTTATAGAAAAGATATTAGTTAATATTACACAACGCACGGAAAATTGTTCGCTTTCTGAAAAAAGATACATGCATGCAAGGTGTGGCAGTAGCAAGTTTAAACTTGTCTGAACTTGTCTAAGCTTGTCTAAACTGGTTTTTCACATCCTTTCGGATAGATATAATTTTGAATAGATGTAAGGCTGAACTAATTAATTCAAAATAATAACCGATGCATAGGACACGATAAAATTTCCAAATATTAACTACCTACTTCCTCAATTAAAACCCTAAGGATTTTTCTCTACATTAATACTTCCGGTACTATCTAACGTGGACGCCATTGCGGGCTCTGATAATTGGCTAGATACTACCAATATGAATATTTATTGCCAACGACTACGTCTAAACTCTCTTCTCAATAAATACTACAACTAACAATTACTTAAAAACTAATTAAGGTAAACAAAAAGCCAGTTAATATAATTCAATTGCAGGGAGATCAGGGGGAAGGTAAATTCGAGTACAAAAACTCGAGAGTGTTTCTCCATTAATAAATATTTTGTGGCCCTAAAAAGGGCCAATGGTATTAATTGTGATGAAGAGATTACTTCTTCTCCGCTTTCTTGGCTTTCGGTGACTTAGCAGTCTTCGGTTTTGGTGCTTTCGTCTTGGCCGCGGGAGCCTTGGATGCCTTCTTGGCCTTCGAAAGGTTCTTCGTCTGAGCTACTGCCTTTTGTTTCGCAGCTGCATCTGCTTTCTTCGCAGCAGGGGTCTTCACTTTCCTCGGCGAGGCTGCTGGTTTCTTCGCAGCAACGGGCTTCTTCGCAGCGACTGACTTTTTGACTGCGGCTTTTTTCGGGCTGGCCGGCTTCTTCTCGGCTGGTTTCTTCTCTGCTCCAGCCGACTGTGCCTTCTTGGTGTGGCGATTCGGTTTGCTCTTGGCCTCAGGACTGCCCTTGGGTACCGAGAGCTTGAACGAACCAGAGGCTCCCTTTCCCTTGGTCTGAAGAACTGCGCCGGAAGTGACGGCAGTCTTCAAGTACCTCCTGATGAACGGCGCCAGTTTCTCACCATCGACTTTGTACGTGGAAGCGATATACTTCTTGATCGCCTGCAGAGAGGATCCCTTGCGATCCTTCAGCTCCTTGATGGCTGCGTTCACCATCTCCGAAGTTGGCGGATGAGACGATTTAGCACGCCGCGACTTAGTCTTCGATTTTGCCGCCTTCTTCGCGGCAGTCGTGCTGGCCGACGTGGTCTCAGACGCGGCGACGTTTCCGGAGCTGGTTTTGTCCTCCATTTCGAATAATGTCTGACAATACGATCTCTTTTCTTCTCGTCGACAAAAGGCAGGAAACAGAAAGGCAAAGACTACGAAATTGAGAGCTTCTTTCTACACGAAGAGTAGCTGCTACTGCATCACATACATAGGCTATACGAGTTGTGGTCCGACGCCTACTTGGAGGGGGTCTTTTATAGCAGCCAGGCAACTCCCCCCTCCATGTGCAACGGGCGAGTTGGACCATCTGGCGGGAACATCTGTCAGGGCACTCCCCCCACCATCGCGCGCTGACCAATCGGACGCTTGCAACTGGCGCCAGGCAGAGCATAAAAGCGACGCGTTTGGGTCCGAATTCACATAACCGCTTGATTTCTCAAGAGGACTACTTCGATTCTTCGTTGATCTACTTCAACTACATCTACGCTCGAGATGGCTCGTACCAAGCAGACTGCCAGGAAATCCACTGGAGGAAAAGCTCCTCGCAAGCAATTGGCAACCAAGGCTGCCAGGAAAAGCGCACCAGCAACCGGTGGAGTGAAGAAGCCTCATCGTTACCGCCCTGGAACCGTCGCTCTTCGTGAAATCCGTAGATACCAGAAGAGCACCGAACTTCTGATCAGGAAATTGCCCTTCCAACGTCTCGTCCGTGAAATTGCCCAGGACTTCAAGACCGATCTTCGCTTCCAAAGCTCCGCTGTGATGGCCCTTCAAGAAGCTAGCGAGGCCTACCTTGTTGGTCTCTTCGAAGACACTAATCTGTGCGCCATCCATGCCAAGAGAGTAACCATCATGCCCAAGGACATTCAACTGGCCCGCAGAATCCGCGGAGAGAGAGCTTAAATTACTCTTCCTCGCATATATAAAAACGGCCCTTTTCAGGGCCACCAATTCTTTTTATCGAAGAAGCAGATCACGGTTCCCCTATTTAAGTTTTCTTGGTACACTAATTTCAATGGTTGGTCATGTATCAGAAGGTTGGGGATATTTCCTATATTCTTTACCATGTATAAAATGGTCACTTGCTTTACTTAGATATTTATGTACTTCACTTGTGGTAAGTATTGAGAGAGTCTGATTCAACTTGACGGAGCAAGACATTGCTATTCCTAAATCTATTTTCATTTTCATAGTTTATTTAGTTAAACAGTTCTTCAATTCATTTCGCTGCAATTTGTGCCTTAGTATTATAGGCCAGTGACTTAATCTTCTTCGTGCAACAACCAACTTGTATCTGATGAGTCACGAACTACGTACATTTTGCACTAGAAAATATTTCACAAGGGTTCTTCCCTCCGGCTTTGAAGCATGACTTACAAATAAATACACATAAAGTGTTCAGACTTGATGCCTTACATTTATTAGAGGTACAAGTTACGTAGAAGTCTAGCTATAAAATTGAACGTGCATTTGCAATGCCGGATTCAATGTTGATTAATTTGAGACAGAGGACAGATACAAGATTTGTTCGTACCTTCACTAAAGCGTGCCTACAGAACTTTAATATAATGCTATTCTACCATGCGAATCAATGATGCTAAAGCAATATGTCTACTGCGCCATATGAGAGGATAAGTTTCGAACAACTCATTCACTCGATTCGATCACACTCAACTGAAATTTAGAATATTTGTATATACCATTATTTACAGAAATAAGCAATTGCTTTTATTCTGTAGTCATCGGTTGCAAACTATTGATGCGGATTAGTGTCTATTCCATGAATAGATACAAATTCCGGCAACGCCAATCTGAATTTGATCATATCCAAGAAACAGGGATCGGATTACCGAAAAATGGTAGATAGTATGAAGCAACGGTCCTATTAGAATCGTTTTTATTATACATGCAGGGCGAATCTGCCGATAAATCAGCAATTTTTGTTATTTTTCCGCGGCGTGTTCCGATCACGGCGAGAGACACTCGTCGGGATATAGCTGCGTCCACAGCACCCAAGGTGTCGCATCGGTCGATAAACGACACCGAATAATACTAGACACACGTGGCCGTTCGTTCGCGAGAATATTGCATGCCCATATACGCCTAGTGAAAAGAAATCGGGATTGAAATCGAACGATCGTTTACCGCTTCACCGTTTTTCAACAAACATGTCGTCCAACATATTCGCTGGGACTCTCTCCATGGTCCGCGCTCGCGACCATGTTCTGCGTCTCCCGTCCGCGCGTATAGAGATACTTGTAAAAATTCGCAAAAGAAAAGCTCGTTTTTCAAGCAGTTTCCGACACTAAGAGAAAAATGGAAGATACAGCAAACGCTGGAAACACCTCTGCGGAGTCTGGGAGCGGGAATACTACTCCAGCGAAGAAGACTACGACGAAGTCGAAATCGGCGAAAGCATCCAAGAGCAAGTCCTCTCATCCACCGACGTCCGAAATGGTGAGCACTGCCATTAAGGAACTGAAGGATCGCAAGGGGTCGTCTCTCCAAGCGATCAAGAAGTACATCGCGTCGACGTACAAAGTGGACGGAGAGAAGTTGGCGCCGTTCATCAAGCGGTACCTGAAGTCGGCTGTCACGTCTGGCGCCGTCGTACAGACCAAGGGCAAAGGAGCGTCTGGCTCGTTCAAATTGCCAGTGGCAAAGGGCAGCGAGACGAAG